GTCGCGGAAATGACCACTCATGACCCACCCCCAGGGAAGGAACACAAGTGGACCATCTTCGTCGACGGAGCATCCAGCTCGTCCGGAAGTGGCGCAGGAATCCTTCTGGAAAACGAAGAGGGTGTAGTGATCGAGCACTCCCTAGCTCTTTCCTTCCCGACGTCAAACAACCAAGCAGAATATGAGGCCCTGCTCGTAGGATTGAGATTAGCCGAGGACCTGGGAGCCCGCGAGGTACAGATCTACACCGACTCCCAATTCGTCGCCTCCTAAGTCCAGGGGAGTTACCAAGCCAAAAACGACAACCTCGTCGAGTACTTGAACTTGGTCAAAAAACACATGACAAAGTTTGTACGGGCAGAAATTTCACATGTTCCCCGTGAGCAAAACACGAGGGCAGACATATTATCCAAACTCGCGAGCACGAGAAAGAAAGGCGGGAACAAATTCGTCATCCAAGAATCCCTAGCACGCCCGAGTATCGAAAGATCCTCGACGCCAGTCGAGGTCCACGCCATTGGGGACGCCTCGTCCTGGATGACCCCGGTTTACAATTTCTTGACAAAGGGCGAACTTCCGTCGAACCAGTCCGATGCGACCGTCACAAAGCGGAGAGCCTGCTCCTACGTGGTGCTCGAGCACAAACTGTACCGCAGGGGATTCTCCATCCCCCTCCTAAAATGCATAGAAGGATCCACAGTCCCCGAGGTACTGCGGGAGATACACGAAGGGATCAATGCCCAGCACATGGGCGGTAAGTCCTTGGCGAGGAAAGCCCTTCGAGCAGGATATTACTGGCCGAAAATGCAGCAGGACGCCAAGGAGCACGTTAAGAAATGCGACAAGTGCCAGAAGCACGGCAACATGCACCTCGCCCCGCCTCACGAGCTGAGCATACTATCGTCCCCATGGTCGTTCGCTTGGTGGGGTATGAATATCCTCGGACCCTTCGTGCAAGGGACTTATCAAAATAAATTCCTAATCGTGGCCGTGGATTACTTCACGAAGTGGATCGAGGCCGAGGCCCTCGCGAAGATCACCTCGCATAATATCCTCCGCTTCTACAAAAGAAACATCCTCGCCAGATTTGGGATTCCGAGTGCACTGGTGACCGACAACGGCACCCAATTCACCGACCACGGGTTCCAAGACTTCGTCACCAGACTAGGGACAAAACAACACTTCACTTCGGTCGAGCACCCTCAAACCAACGGGCAGGCCGAGGCCACGAACATAGTCATCCTCCGGGGACTCAAACGCCGACTCGGCGAAGCGAAGAGGGGATGGGTCGAGGAGCTCCACAGTGTCTTGTGGGCTTACCACACCACGCCCCACTCAACGACGGGCGAGACCCCATTCCGACTAACATACGGGACCGAGGCCGTCATCCCGGTAGAAATCATGGAACCATCTAGACGGACAGAGCACCCCCTCGACGAAGAAATGAACGACGAGTCGCTGAGGGACGAGCTCGACTTAGTCGAGGAAATCCGATCTGGTGCAGCCCTGCGCGAAGCCACCCTGAAATAACGAGTGGCTCTGCGCCACAATGACAAGGTTATCAAGCACGAGTTCGAAATCGGCAGCCTGGTATTACGAAGGAACCAGAAAGACTCCCGCGAAGGGAAGCTAGCCGCGAACTGGGAAGGGCCTTATCGCATCCACGACACCACCGGTACCGGGGCGTACTACCTCGAGCAATTAGACGGAGAGCCGCTACCACGACCCTGGAACGCTGCTAAACTAAAGCAGTACTATAGTTAAAAACTACCAACACTGAGGACCCTCGACTGTCGGCTCCCGCGCCCAGTCAACGAGGAGAAACGTCCAACCCCGTAGAGAGGCCAAGGTACGGGCCCGACCTACGTCCAAATCGCATAACATGGTTCAAATAAGAACAAATGCCCGACGTGGACACCTCTACCGAGCTCCACCGTCGAAGTACCTATAAGGCAGAACACCCAGCTCGCGATGGGCAGTTCACGCCAAGGGCAAATAGTCTTGACCGGGCCATGTACCCGACCGAGCGACTTCGCTCCGTCTGCCCGACAAATCTTCAAGAATTTCGGGCCATCTAAAAGGGTCAAAAAGGAGTCTCTCCCCTCGAGTTCACCACTTAGGTGACTCTGGCCATCGAGAAGAGGCCGAGCACACACACGAACAAAAGACAGGCAAATTTGCCAGCAAAGTCACAACCACTTACGGGCACTCCTCGGGCCCATAACTTAGGCCAATTTTTGCGCAAAAACATAAAACGCAAGCACAGGCAAACAATCAAAATTGAAACAAAGCATTCATTCAAAAATGCCCGTAGGCAACAAAGCAAATAAGATGTAAACCGACCAAAAAGGCCGGCAATATTCAGGAATACAAAGAACGGGCGCGCAGGCCCAAAAGAATGTGAACGGGCACGCAGGCCCAAAACAAACATCAATGAGGCACGCAGGCCCCACCACCATCTCACACTTCGGCTTCCCCCGAGCTACCATCACCAACAACAGGAGAGTCGGGCGGAGGCACGACCTGACCATCGATAATCTGCGACATATGGCTCACCCCTTCAGTGTTCAGGCCGGGATTTAACAAGGAAAGTTGGCTGACCGCGGCTTCGAAGCCGTCCACCATAGCTTCGACATAGTCCCCCTCGAGAAGTTGAATGCGATCGACCAGTTCCGATCGACTCCTCAGAAGAGCTGTGTCCTCCGATTCATCCTCGGCATGAAGCATAGCAGCCTTTAGGTCCTCGACCTCCCTGGCAAGGCGCCCGTTGTCGAGTTCCAGTCGTTCACGATCCGCACGAAGAAGGTCCCTCTCCTCGGCCAGCTTCCCCGAGCTCTCTCTCTCCAGAGTCAGCGCCTTCGTCTCCGCTACCAGCAGCTCAGCTTGCTCGCGGAACATCTCCTCGGAGCGCTCCAGGGCAGCTTTCAGCTTTCTTGAAGTCGAGGTGAGGGCAGCTTTCTCCTGCTCCAACTCCTTGACACGGTCAACATCCTTCCCCTCCTCGGCCAGTACAACAGCCATTTTGACCATCTTCACCAGCCCGGCCATGTTGGCGGCCAGGTGTCTTCTCCGGCTTTCCTTGTTCATCTGACGGATGGTTTCAGCTTCGTCGGGATTCACAGACAAAGGAAACCCCTCGAAGAAACCCTCCTCCTTAAAGCAAGGGGGAAACCCGAAGGACCTCACAGCACTGGAGTCCTCGCCGACTTCCGGCTGACTTTCCACCTGATTCCTTTTTCTCTGTATCAGGTCGGTATGTGGCTCGACCTCCTGAACATCCGGAGTCCCTCCTGAAGCAGCCCCCGAGCTAGGTGGCGAGTCCACCCTCGCCGCCTGAGAAACGCCCGGGCTATGTGGCGGGCCCATCCTCGTCGCCTGAGGAGGTCTCACCACCCTCCTGTTCACCTTCTTGTCACAGGACAATTTCAGGAGCCTCTCCCTTCGACCAGCCATCGAACCGGGCTAATCCCAGGCGTACAACCTCTAAATGTCTAAAAACGATGAAAAATCATGCATCACAACAGAAAAACAAAGGAGACAAGTCACTTACTTGAATCAAGAAGGAGATCTGACGACGGAGGAAAGGAATCAGCGACGGAGATCGCGACGGTCCTATAAGAATCTGGGAAGAACAGCAACAGCAGAAATAGAGTGGAGAGGAGAGGCACGAAGAGTGGAAACACGTTCTGGGTCCCAAGGACCCTATTTATAGTGATGACGTGGAATACCAAACGTCACCTCGGGCAACCACGGATTCCCCTCCTCGACGCACAACTCCCCTAGGCAATGATGACCCTATCCTCATAGGGTGGCGGCACAGTTCCCAAAAGAGACCTCGCGTGCTCGACAGACGCAGGCTGTCGAGAAATCCCCGAGCATTCCTCGCAGGGAATCTGTCCACGAGCACGATACGGGGAAACCCTCGAGTACCCCACGAGGAGCTGCATCTCTTGCCCGGATACGGGGCCTCGAAACGGTAGCAACCTAAGATCAAGTCATGGCTCCTAACTCAAGGAACCACGACTTGGGGGGCTCCTGTTCTGGACTGGGCCGGACTGGGCCAAGAGCAACGATAAAGGCTCAATCCAAACGGACTTGCTAGGGGTCACGCCGACCTAAGGACCATAGTTATGCCCGACATACGTCACTGGGCGACATCTCCGTCCTCGTGCTATCCAGCTCGACCTCAGCTCGAGCACTCCTTCAGCAGCGGACACGGTCCACTGCGCTCTCAACGGGACCCCGAAAAGACCGCGTCCTTGTCCGCCCGCACTTCACGCGGGACATCCAAGAAGGGGACCACGTGCGGGTCTCCACTACGCACGTAGAACCTGGCAGTTCCTCCATTGGGCCAAACCTGCCCGACCCAATGAAGGAACCTTGGCCCAGCGCTGGGGGCTATAAATACCCTCTGTTTCCAGAGGGTCAGGTATTCATTCTATCCCATATACTCACATTTTGCCTGCTCGCGCTCTTACTTACTTCAGCATCGGAGTGCCTTGCAGGTACCCCCCACCTCGTTCAAAACTTCAGCTCGGAGCCAGCCGTGACGGTCCAAGTCTGATCAGGTTAGATCAATTACTAATATATTCTAATTAAATTATCATTTACTAACCATATTAAATAATTAATACAAAGGTATATTTAAAATATAGATATTAAATGTAATATATTTTAGAATACTTTTGGTTATAAATAATTTAAAGGTGACTTTAATCAATTGTACTAGTAATTTCTATGATGACATAAAGTGAGTACGATTGATTGATTAATCACTTTCGGGTTGTTCGGGCTGGTCCTTAAATCTGAAAATGTGTGTGGATGTCACAATTTCCAGGCCCATAACTTTATTTATTGTGTTATATAACTACTAGTATTGCCTAGTGACATTAAAAATATCTGCATAGTGACTTAAAATAAACATGGAATATTTAATTAACAGGATCACAATTTATTAAGGGTCGCATCATTAGAGTATGATTGATAAATGATATACCTACCATATAGACAATGCATCAACCGAAACCTCCGCATTCTCCAAATATCCAGCAAATAGAATCAATGCCATAAAATACCAGACTTCAAGACTGCATAACAACACGAACCAAAACATCAATGATCTATATAATATGGATGCACGGGTTTTAACTAGTTGATATCAGATAGTTAGACATTAACAAACCACAACATAACAGCTGAAGCAAGTGAGAGACGAACAAAACCCCTAAGATTCTGAAAAGCTTGAAAAGAAAAACCACTCCACGCTTCACCACACACACCACTCAAAACATAAAGAATTTGCGCCACCACAATAAACCACCAAGAAGAATTAAGCACCACCGCAGCCCCAACAAGCCCCCACCCCAAATGCAACATAAGAAACCAACTCAAAAACGTATGTCCCACCAAAGCCACCGCAGAAATCCACGCCATCGCCATTATCCTACTCTGCGCCTGCAAAAACTTCTGTACCGGAAAATTCATCGCGTAAGCAAACAACTGAGGAATCATCCATAATGTGAAAACTCCCGCAGTCTCTGATATGGCTGTTGTTTGGCCTATAAATTTTAAAAGAGGCTCAGCAAAAATGTAGAGAAGACTTAAAATAATCGCGGTGGCGTTTAGAATTAACCACGATCTTTGCATGTATATTCCTAACATATCAAGCTTTCCTGCTCCAAAAGCTTGTCCACATAGCGTCTCTAACGCACTTCCCATCCCAATCTGAAAAATAACAGAATTCAGTTTCTCCTCCACATTTTAATATTATTAAAAAAATAAAAATAAGACAAAAAATAAAAATAAGTTAATTTGTTTGGTACTGGTTTTGGATTTGAGTTTCTTCATTTAAATTGTTTTTAAACTAAATGTCAAAGTTCATGATTGATGAACTGTTCAACTTTTAAAAAGATTGATTTCAACTTTGAACAATCTGTCATCACGCAAACAGAATAAAAAAATTAAAAAAATGAAGCTAAAAAAAATGAAATTAATATAGGAAATAAAAAAAAATACGAATTAGATTCGGTGTTACCGTGATGCCTAAGCAGAAACCGGCGATGACGGAGTTTTCAATAGAGACGGCTGCGAGTTGGAGAGTACCGACTTGACCGGCGAAGACTTGAGTAACAGCGCCGAGGGAGTATTGAGAGATGGAGGTGAAGATCGCCGGGCCGGCAAGGTACCAGAGTTTCTTTGACTCATTGAGGAAGCCTCTGGCGAAGGTTCCGGCGCTGGTGATCGGAGGAATATCATCGAATTTGGAGGTGAAAACTGCAGTAGTGTTGGTTTGATCTTGTTGAGGGTTGTTTAACGGTGTGAGGAGTGGGTGCGTTTGTCGATCACTCTCCATAGGATAGAATAAAGAGCAACGATCTTTCTTGTTAATGCAAAAACAAATTTCGTTCTCATGAATATATTTGATCAATCCGTTTATATTTATAAACAAAATGTATTAAATTTATTTTATTATACTGTAAATTTTTTAATACAAGTATGATAATACGATGAATACAATATATTTAGAGACTGAGGCGTAGCAGCCATCAGTTATAAATGTAGTCCTACAGTTCTACTATGATTACACGCTCCCTCGTGTTATGCATGTGTTATTTTTAATTAATTTTTGTGATTCATGTTCTATCACAACTTACGATAAATTAGTAAAAAGAATTATGTGTCTGTTGTGTGTAACCTAGTGGTAAATATTTGAGTATTAAGAGGATGCTCTTGTTAAAATTTCAGTTTTTATTAGTATGTCCGAGATATGCAATCAATATATATGGATGAATGTTATGCTCCTCCAAAGTGATAATTCTAATATAGAAGAGTGTTCTACTATCCATTATCTTTTATCAAATAAAATTTAATGATTCATATACACAACTCTTTCAATTTTATTATTATATCAATTTACATTTTAATATCAATATGTCAACTATTCTTCATGTATTATTGTTGTAACTTGTTGATGCTGTCTATTTAATATTTATATATTCATTGTATTTTTTATTGTTTATTTCTTATTTTTTTAATAACTTTTCATTTCTATTCCTCGCACAATATGGTATTTTATTTATTTATTTTGCTTTTTTATAAAAAGAAAATACACATTTAAGAACTATTGTAATTTTACAAGTATAGGGATAAAAATGACTTTTGCTCATTTCCAATCGGGCCAAAGATTTTAGTAGAAATGTCACGTGAGGCTGGATCTTGGAAAACAAATTGGTTAGCTATGGAGCGCCGTCCTCGTTACTACAAATCTATAAAAAAACAAAATATTTACTGTACCTAATGAAGAGTAGCGGACTACTATCTATTGTTGGATAGTGAATTTGTCCCTTCTTCATTTATATATAAATGACTATTATCCTATAAGGAAAATTGATCTTACCTGATCAGACTTGGACCGTCACGACTGGCTCCGAGCTGAAGTTGAACGAGATGGGGGGTACCTGCAAGGCACTCTGATGCTGAAGTAAGAGTGAGTACGAGCAGGCAAAAAGTATGAGTATGAGTAAGAGAATGAATACCTGGCCCTTTGGGAACAGATGGTATTTATAGCCCCCAATGCTGGGCCAAGGTCCCTTCATTGGGTCAGGCAGGTTTGGCCCAGTGAAGGAACTGTCAGGTTCTACGTGTGTAGTGGGAACCCGCACGTGGTCCCCTTCCTGGATGTTCTGCGAGAAGTACGGACGGACGAGGACGCGGTCTTTTCGGGATCCAGGTGATGGTGTAGTGGTCAGAGTCTGCCCTACGAGGGGCGCTCGAGCTGAGGTCGAGCTGGACTGCATGAAGTCGAGGATGTCGTACCAGCGGAGAGTGTCGGGCACGGCTATGACTTTTGGGCCAGCCCGGCCCAGTCCAGAACAGGAGCCCCCCAAGTCGTGGTTCCTGGAGTAGGAGCCATGACTTGATCTTAGATCGCCTCCGCCACGGGGTCCCGTGCCTGGATAAGAGATGTAGTTCCCCGTTGTTTGCTCGAGGAGTTTCCACTGTGTCGGGCTCGTGAGATAATTCCTTTCGAGGAGTGCTCGGGGGAATCTCGACAGGCTGTGTTCGTTGAGCACACGAGGCATCTCTTGGGAACCGTGCCACCACCCTACTGACGATAGGGTCATCATTGCCTAGGGGAGCTACGCGTCGAGGAGGGAAGTTTTGTGGTTCCCCGGGGTGACGTTTCGTATTCCACGTCATCACTATAAATAGGGTCCTTGGGCCCCAGAACGTGTTTTTCCCCTTCGCGCTTCTCCTCTTTCCTCTGCCTCTGCTGCTGCTGTTCTTCCCAAATATTCATAGGACCGCCGTGATCTCCGTCGCTGATTCCCTTTTCCGCCGTCGCACCTCTTTCCTGATTCCAAGTAAGCGTCTTGTCCCCTTTGCTTTTCCTCTGTGATACATGACATTTTTCGTTGTTTTTAGACGTTAGAGATTGTACGCTTGGGATTAGCCCCGGTATATTCGTATTTAGCTCGACAAATCCATGTTTATGCCCGGCGAACGCATGTTTGCGCCCGGTAAATGCATAGTTTAGGTATTTGACTCGTAGTGCTGCCCGAGATCTTCATGATTCAGGGCGCCTAATTCTTGGTAGTGCCCGGTAAACTGATAGCTCTAGTTTTGGGATTCATGATATCGCTCGCCATGTTCATAGCCTAGGTCGACATATTCGTGAGTGGTCGAGATATTGGCCCGCTTAGGCGATCTATAGGGAGACTTGTCGTGGTGTCTGAGAGTCGGGGAGGTGACTTCTCTTTTTGTTTCGAAACACCAAATTTTTTAGTCGCGCGTGGAGTGACACGGCTTGTCGCTCCCTTCATCCCGTCAGTTATGGCGAGCGTGTGGATTTTCTCCCCAATTGACCGGTTTCCTGTGCTTTGTAGGTAACCATGGCGGACGAACCGTGTTCCTCGGGGCGCACTAAGGTGGAAGACCAAAGTGCCGAGGAGAATGTGATTTTGGTCGATACCATTGACGACCCTTTGCTGGAATGGGTGGGCACCGAGCCCAGAGGGATTGCTTCTCCGTCCAGTCGCTCGAGGTAATATGCCCCGGTACCAGTGGTGTCGTGGACGCGGTAAGGCCCTTCCTAGTTTGTGGCCAATTTCTCTTCGCGAGCGTCTTTCTGGTTCCTTCGTAACACCAGGCTGCCGATTTCGAACTCGCGTTTGATGACCTTGTCGTTGTGGTGTAGAGCCACTCGTTGTTTTAGGGTGGCTTCGCGTAGGGCCGCCCCCGATCGGATTTCCTCGACTAAGTCGAGTTCGTCCCTGAGTGCCTCATCGTTCATTTCTTTGTCGAGAGGATTTTCTGTCCGTCTGGAGGGTTCCCTGATTTCCACCGGGATGACGGCCTCGGTGCCGTATGTTAGTCGAAAGGGGGTCTCGCCCGTCGTTGAGTGGGGCGTGGTGCAGTATGCCCACAAGACGCTGTGCAGTTCCTCGACCCAGCCCCTCTTGGCTTCGCCGAGTCGGTGTTTGAGTCCTCGGAGAATGACTCTGTTTGCGGCTTCAGCTTGCCCGTTGGTTTGAGGGTGTTCGACCGAGGTGAAGTGTCATTTTGTTCCTAGTTTGGTGACGAAGTCCTGGAACCCATGATCGGTGAATTGGGTGTCGTTGTCGGTCACCAGTGCCCTCGGGATTCCAAATTTGGCGAGGATGTTTCTCTTGTAGAAACGGAGGATGTTATGCGAGGTGATCTTTGCGAGAGCCTCGGCCTCGATCCATTTCGTGAAGTAATCCACGGCCACGATGAGGAATTTATTTTGATAAGTCCCTTGCACGAAGGGACCGAGGATATCCATACCCCACCAAGCGAACGGCCACGGGGATGACAGTATACTCAGTTCGTGAGGGGGGGCGAGGTGCATGTCCCCGTGCCTCTGGCATTTGTCACACTTCTTGACGTGTTCCTTGGCGTCCTACTGCATCGTCGGCCAATAATACCCCACTCGAAGGGCTTTCCTCGCCAGGGATTTACCGCCCATGTGTTGGGCGTTGATCCCCTCATGTATCTCTCGCAGTACCTCGGGGACTGTGGATTCATCGATGCACTTCAGGAGGGGAATGGAGAATCCTCGGCGGTATAGTTTTTGCTCGAGCACCACGTACGAGCATGCTCGTCTCTTTGTGGTGGTTGCATCAGTCTGGTTCGAGGGTAGTTCGCCTTTCGTCAGGAAATTGTACACCGGGGTCATCCAGGACGAGGCATCTCCTATGGCGTGGACTTCGACTAGTGTCGAGGACCTTTCGATGCTCGGGCGTGCTAAGGTTTCTTGTATGACGGATTTGTTCCCGCCCTTCTTTCTCGTGCTCGCGAGTTTGGACAATATGTCTGCCCTTGTGTTTTGCTCGCGGGGGACATGTGAGATCTCCGCTCGTTCAAACTTTGTCATGTATTTTTTGACTAAGTTTAAGTATTCGACGAGGCTGTCGTTCTTGGCCTGGTAACTCCCCTGGACTTGGGAGGCGACGAGTTGGGAGTCTGTGTAGATTTGTACTTTGCGGGATCTCAAGTCCTCGGCTATCCTCAGTCCTGCGAGCAGGGCTTCGTACTCTGCTTGGTTATTCGATGTTGGGAAGGAGAGAGTTAACGAGTGTTCGACCACTACGCCTTCTTCGTTCTCCAGGAGGATTCCCGCGCCACTTCCGGTCGAGCTGGAGGCCCCGTCGACGAAGATGGTCCATTTGTGTTCCTTCCTGGCGGGCGGGTCATGAGCGGTCATCTCCGTGACAAAGTCGGCCAAGGCTTGTGCTTTCAGGGCTTTCCTACTCTCGTACTGAATGTCGAATTCAGAGAGTTCCAAGGACCATTTCAACATTCTGCCCGCCATGTCGGGCCGACCCAGGAGTTGCCTCAGTAGTTGGCCGGTTCGTACGATGATTGTGTGGGCCAGAAAATAGTGTTTGAGTCTCCTCGCCGCGTTGACAAGGGCTAGGGCCACCTTTTCTATCTGTTGGTACCTGCTTTCGGGTCCTTGTAGGGCTTTGCTCGTGAAGTAGACATGTTTTTGTCTGTCGGTGGTCTCGCGGATGAGAGCCGCGCTTACGGCTTCGTTCGAGACGACCAAGTATAGGAACAATGGTTCCCCGTCGGCTGGTCGAGATAATACGGGCGGTTGAGACAAACTCTGCCTTTAGGTGGCGCAATGCCCGTTCGCACTCCTCGTTCCATTCGAAGGCTGCTTCTTTACGAAGGAGTTTGAAGAAGGGGAGGGCGTGCTGAGCAGACCTCGCGACGAAACGGGACAATGATGTGAGCATGTCGTTCATGACTTGTATCGACTTCTTCGAGGTCGGTGTCGGGAAGTCGAAGAATGCTCGACACTTTTCGGGATTGGCTTCGATTCCT